ACACCCCAGCAGGATCCTGTCCCACATCCCAGGAAGGCCCCACACATACCAGCACCTGAGCACACCAGTGTCTGCAGGAGCTTCAGAGCTGTAAAGAGAGTTTACTGCAGTGTCCCTGTGCAAAAAAACTACCACTTTCCAAATCCTTTTATGATTTGTATCACCTCCTCTTGCACCCTCAGTGTTCCCTGTTGTGTCCTGGCATTCCTGGGATAACATCCCAGGCTGCTCAGGCACTGCAGGGCTGAGTGTTGCTGTTGTACTGCAAGCGGCACTCAAAACATTCTCACCACTTATTCCGTGCCTATTTCCCACTCTGGAAATAATGTCCACACATTTATCTTTCAAGGAATAAATGATTCACTCTCCCAGCAGCAAAAATCCAGAGATACAACTTCTTCCAAAAAGTAATGGAAAAAATACACACACCTTACCAGGAGAGAACAAGCTAGAGATTCTACACCTCGTTGTTGCTGCTCCGTGGCTTCTTCAGGGAATGCACAGAGCAAGTGTAAGGACAGATTTCACATCTGAACCAGGGACACAGGTTGGCACTGATGGGTGACAAAAGTTCTGAGGAACTGAAGGAGGCTGGACAATACAATAAAAATTCACAAGTGTTTTTGCTCTTAAGTCAGCAACAAGACAGACAAACTAGATCCACCTATCTAAGCAGTTACATTTCTAGTTAAGATTATAGAAACTCAGAACTTAAGATTTCATCAATTAATAAACTGCTGGAGCAGTACTTTCTGCACTTATGGGGTTTGTGTGAAAAAGGGATTTAGACCAGAGCTTGCAGAGACACAACTTTTGCAACAGTTCAGTTCCAACTGGTGATCCTCGGGATACGAGAGCCCAGCTATCCGTACATGGAACAACACTGGCATCCAGTGGCCAATTCAATTAATCACAGAACAGAACGACCTCACTGCCCTCCTGCCCTTCTTTGGGCTAGGAAACACCACTGTGAGAGCCCATGTGCTGCTGGAGGCTGCTCCTGGAAGCTTGCCCAGCCCAGAGTGCTGAGCCAAGCCCTGGGCCGTGCCCAGCAGGGACGCGGCCGTCGCTTACCTGGCAGCGCGGTGATGAAGTCCCGCTGTAACATGGGCTTCAGGTAAGAGTTAATATGTCCATGCTGATAGTGACACATTCGTGAAATAAGGTGTTCCACAAATTCCACTTGATCTGATTCAGACCACTGGTCAAAATATTTTATACACAAGTCTTTTTCCTTTTCGTAGTTTCCTTCCGATGGTCTTTTTCTTGAGACGATCACGGATGAAGTTCCATTACTTATCTGGTGTTAGAGAAACAACATCAGTATTAACTATAAACAACAGGAGCAGCTTTGTAAGAACTCTCTGCAGCAAAAACACGTAAGATGCAAAGAAATAATCAAAACTAAATTTTAAAACACATTCTCCAAGGTATGAGTTACACCAGATAAATTTCATCTCTCACTGACAAAGATCAATGAAAGCACTTTGCTTCCAAGTTACTTCTTACCCTGAAAGTCTTGAATTCCTCTACACCTCTAAACATTTAAACACCAAGGAATTCAGTTCTTTTCAGCCATGGCTTTCCCAGATTAGCCCAATGGTTTCTGCAGCACTTTGCAGTTGCCTCTACAAATGTTTTCCTCAGATTCCAGCAGTTAAATTAACAACACACCAAAGCTGGATATTAATACTCTAATTAACACAAGAATTAGAGATCCTCATGTCAGCATTGAACTGCCTGTCCCTAAGTGAAAACTGGGACTGACACGACATCCAGGATCTGGTTTGTGTTTGAAAACCAGCTTGTGTCAGTGTTTGGGACATCCACATAAATACCTCATTAAAATCCTGGGAGCTGGGGCTACAAATGAGGATGCTACAAGAACATCACCCCAGGAGTTACAGCTAATTAGTGAGTAGAACCTAAGACTGATGCCAGGCTGCTCTGAGCCCTTCAGGAGGCCACCACGCTGCTGGGGACCAATTGTCAGCTCGCTGAAATATTCCCAACTCCTTCAAAGCAAATTGGTTGCAAGTCCTTGCCATGTTGAATTCCTCCTTTCAAACAACAGTGCCGTGCTCAGAAATACAGCTGAACTTCATTCCCCAGTGTCCTTTGACGCAGAATGGTCCTCCCAAGGTCAGCACCAACCACAACATCGGAGAAGAGCAAGTGATTTCTCCAGGATTTCTCAACGGCGTCATCACCCACTCCAAGGCTGGGCTAATTTTAGGATGATACACTGAACGACGTCCAAGGATGATTATCCAGACACAAGGTTTGGATGTTTCTCAGAAGCAGGAACACACAAAATCATGTCAACTCTCTTTTTTACAAGGATGTTAGTCCTACCTGCCACAGGGTATTTTTCTTTGGAGACTCATCTTCATTCTGATCCTCCATTACTGACGTGTTCTAGAAAAAAAAAGAAGAAATATCACTTCAATTTTTTATTCTGTAACAATTCCTTGCTCTACAAGCATTACGAAGAAGCAAATCAACTGAACTTGTAAAATTCATTTTCCTAGTGAATAGAACTATCAAAGACTTCTGGTCACAAAACCTGAATATTATAAATAAATTCCCCTTTTAACTGACATGTTTATCAATTCCACTTACTGTAAAGATAACTCCCCAACCCCACTTCAATTTCCTTTGACAGGTTTTCATGCAGCCTTTCAACGCTTTTCTCACTGGGAAATAAATTCACTTTCATCCTACTCAAGCCAAAGCAATTAAACCTGTCAAAGTATTCAACCAGCACTTTCTGCCAAACTTAAATTGCATACAGCTCGTCAAAAAAAAAAAAAAATCAGAAATCACTATACACAACTTACATGCAACAGAATGGGGGCTTTTCCCAGCTCTGGCTACCACAAGGAACAGGGATTGCTCTCTGCAGAACAACTCTGCACTTCACTGCCCCTCTGTGTCTCTAACCCTTGGCAGTCCCCATCTTTCTGCCCTGCCTTCACTGCAGTGCTCTCCCCACATCAGAACTGCCCCTCCCTTCTGTTTTCTTCCCCAACAAGAGATGTAAGAATTTCTGTGAACACTCAGCTGCAAATGTTCCTTTGAGCTCACCTTGGTTTCCCAAAAGCTCTCCCTCCTCCTGTCCCTTGTCCATCTCCTGCTCCCTTTGCTGGCCAGGGCACAAGCCCCATCTCCCCCTGCCCCCCCAGTCCCTCAGCCCGGCCCTGGGCTCCATCCTCTGCCCAGCTGACCAGCACAGGGGTCAGCACCACCAGCTGAGTGGCCTGGAACACTGTCTGCATTTATTTCAGCCTCCTTCCCCTCCATCAGCTGCCTCAGCAGAAAGAGGAACAACACCCTCAAGTAAAACACATGATGGAATAAGTCACACAATTCCTTCACTCTTGTCATCATGGATTATGGATTAACCCCTTAAACACCACATCCACCCCCACTCAAAACACAATTCCACCTCAGAAGCATCCATCTCCTCCTCTTTCTGCCACAAGGATGTACTGCACCAAAACCAGAAAACGTGGAGAAATGAACAGGATGACCTGCACAGCAAAGCCTTCCTCCCCCACCCCACTGCCCTGGCTCCAGGTGACCCTGAACCCTCCTCTGCCTTGCAGCCAGGTATGGAAAGACGTGTGTCACACGGACTGCAGATGGCATTAGAAAAACTGGGGCCACAGGGTGATGGGAAGACTCAGGTCTGCCCAGTCCTGACACACAGGACAGTGACAAACACGAGCCTGGGAGATGGCCAGAGGGGAAGCCAGGAAGGGGTACGGGCAGGAAAGGGTTTGGGTAACTCCAGAGACACACATATTTTAGTGTTCCTGGACAGACCCAGACCAGTAGCACTGAAAGGAAATCATATCTTGCCCAGTTTTTAAAGTGATAGTCTTGTGAGGGCCATCCCAGTTATCCCAAGCTGCTCCCACCCAGCCCTCTCTCGGGGTACCACCATGTCCCCCCCACGGTGCCCAGGACACACATCAGCCACACCCTTACTGGGACCCAACCAGCCCACACCACTTAAACCATTCTGGGAAGCAAACACACTGCCAGGGAAGGCTGCAGAGTTCCTGTGATTTGATTTATTTCAATATGAATGTGCAGAAATGTCATTACAGTGACTGTGTGCTGTTAATGGTATGCTATGTATGTTAATGGTGTTTCCAATTAGTATGTCCTTAAATGCTTAGGAACATCTCATCTCCTTTAGCAGCTGAAGGCTAAAGAAATGTATCAATCCTGTGAGCCACAAGCAAGGAACACAGGGAATACCAAACACAGGTGGTTGGGTCAGCATATTCAGCAGAAATCCCACATTTTATCATCTTAGCCCCCACCTAACTTTCCCTCAGCAGGTCACA